ATGTGTGTGTGTATGTGTGTATGTGTGTATGTCTATTTATTTGTATATATACAAATAGTATAGTAGTGCTTTGTTGCTTTATTTTACTACATTAATACTACAATACATGTCTTTTCGTGATTTCATTGTCATGTATGTTAATGTATCCAGGTGCACAAGGTGCTGTCAATGGTATGATTGTCTTTGCACTGCCTTCGGTTTTATTGAGTGCGATATAAGCTTCCATTTATGCTAGCCCTATATGATGTCATATTTCGTTTACCGTATCTCATTTCTCGATTGCGTTGGCCTATACTGCATACGCAACTATTGATCAGGGACATGTTTGACTGTCGAGAGACAGACAAAGAAATAAAATAATTTATGAACTGGAAGTAAATACACACACAGATGGAGATCGTGAGCTCATTATCCAAACATGCAGTTGCATGCGTGGTGAAATGTACGGGTATATAACTGACTTGTAGAGTTATACATACAAATGACAGTGTTCAATTTATTAAAGTATACTTTACACATCTACCCTACTATAGATAGCACAATATGTGCACGACTGGGATGCATGCGGCTTCCGCCTGGTAGTGTTTATCGATGCGGGCGTGGATGATTGCAAGATCAACACCTGGGAGAAGCGTAGGAGTGACAGTATGAATAAGATGCTTAAGCTGGCTCGAGGCCTTGAGGAACATGACGGAAATGCTAAGTTAGTGCATAAGAGTGTGTGGACGCCCCCACCCTCATGCACGCAACGCTTGGGCGAGAGTTTTGAAGGTGTGTGTAACGGGTGGCATAGCAACATCTTTCTTGTATGGACATCGATGCAGACATGCGCTTTTGTTTACAGATTGCTGGTATACACGTTCACCAAGGAACATGGTAGTCGAGTGGGTTTTGGGTGTAGTAAAAGGTTCGTATTTATGCTAGTGACGGGAGATGTACCTATCTGTGATAACCGTCATACTTTGCCCGTATGTGTCATATACTTTTTATGAGATGCTCTGTGTCGGGTATGTGTTTATGTGTACATAGGCTGTTGTAAGGCGTACCAGACTAATCTGCAAATGTGTTAAGTTAGCTGCTGTCAGATGTACGTGTAAACCGTTGCATGCACTGCCATTGTAAGCTTGCAAGCATAGTCCATGTCGATAGTTATGCTTCATTTTGCGTGGTATGTTGCATTTTTAGCTTGCAAGCATTGTCCATGTCAATAGCTATGATTCATCTACTTGTGTGTGATATGTTGGACGATCCCGTGTGGTTGCGCACAATTGGTCCAAATTTCGGTTGTTTCTTAATCGAGTGGAACAATGCATACCGCAGAGGTTTGTCTCGAGGTGTCTAGAACAGATAAGAGACCTCGAGCAATCTGTATCTTAGCATAGCCTCAATCAAGAATAAAGTTCGGAAATAAGGAAGTGTGCCACGAATCTGTCTTTCTTCTATAGGATCTGGTCCCCCCCCCCCCCCCTCCGTGTCCGCTCGTTTTGTCCGAAACCTAAGTACTAGCAGATTGGACTACCTGCTCTTTACCATTTGGATAGAATATATGTCTTTGATACGCGCTAGATTTGGTGCTTCGTTGCTGTGTGTAGCGAGCGTTCAAGTATGGAGACGCTGACGAAAAGAGCACTTGACACGCATACTGCATATGTTGCACAAAACATGTATGTATCTGCATACGTATCTCTATGTACAAACACCCATACCATCACCCAAAAAAATCTATAAACGTAGCTTGGTACATAATATATATATATATATATATATGTATGAATGTATATTTGTATGTCTATATGTATAA